GGCTAGCTTTCGACCTCTCCCCCTGGCCTCAAGTATTCATGTATCTTCCATATGCCACACTGTCAAGAGATGAGATATGGTGAGATCATGGGGCGCGCTTGCTTAGACAATGTTAATGCCCGACAGTGCCAAGCCAATTGTTCAGGCTGATTTCTTTGAGACAGCGAGCAGAGAGAGCTTTGTCATGGGTTTGTTGGTCTTGCTTTTCATCCTTTTTGGCTCTCTGACGGTGATGAATATGTTGCTGGGCGTTCTCGTTGAAGCCATCAACACAGTCTCCACCATCGAAAGGGAGCAGTTGGAGGTGGACTTCGCAAAGAAAGCCTTGTGGGAACTCATCAGTAAAGGAGCCGGCGCTTCCCTTTGACTCTACACTAGCTGTTTGTTTGTTTTTTTTGTGGTTTGCTTCTGACACGGCACCGTGTGCGATATTCCGTTTGGGACTACTCCACCGGCTTAATCTTGGTTTGTAAAAGTTCGTGGTCCAAACCACCGTGCCCATGACTCATTGGTTGACACTTTGTTTGCTGCCGCCAGGAGATGCCGATGAGGATGGCGACAACCGAATATCAGAACAGGAGTTTGTGAATGTGTTGTCAAAGCCGCAGGCGGCAATCAAGTTTTGTTTTGCTTCCCGAGTGGGAATGTAGGCATGGCAAGGCTTCTAGCTGTTAGCTTGGCTGAGTTGTTGCATGAACCCATGATAAGGGTGAGGAAACACATTCCAAGGCCTGGGCCTTCAGGTCCTTTATCCATCAGCCCTAAATAAGCGCGGGATATTCGAAGGTTTTTGCCTATGGATGCGTGTGCCGCAGGCTGTTACAGCTTTGACTAGCTTGGGAGTTGATGTGGAGGCTGCCTTGGACTACGGCCTTCGCCTCAGGAATTGCAATTCCCATGAAAACAGACATTACAGTAGTGGTATTTCTCAATTGTGCGCCCGTACCCGGTTGTAGTTGGCAACTTGCGACAGCAGTTGCCTTTTTCCAAGTTATAGTTATGATGTTTCCGAATTGCTGCTGCAGCCAGCCTGCGTTTTGACTGGTCTTCCCATGCTAATTCGACAGTGAAGGTATTGACACAGGCTCCGTAGAACCGTGAGAGCAGCTTGTTGATGTTACCAACAGGGAGAACGTGTGTCATCAGTGTGTATACAGCTATGAGTCCCTCAACAGCTGAGGCAAGCTGCTTTTTGAAGATGGGGAGCCCCTTACCTTCGGTGACTTCATGAAAGGTATCCTGACACTACGTGGTTCCAATCAGACCACAGTCAAGGCATGGGATGACAAAGATATGTTCCTACTCTCTTGACTCTTAAAGATCAGTGTCTACAGGGGTTAAGATCAAAGATGTTTTGCCGTCGTAATCTCGGTGCAGAATTGGCAGCACTGTAGGGTGTGTGATTTGGTGCAGGACATCGTAGACCTGCGGAAGTTCATCGCCGAAGAGTTCTCAGAAACAGACCACATACTCAGAGAGATTTGTGGTTTCTTGACAGGACTGTTCCTGTGCTTCCTGTGTTTGGGGAGGGGGGTTGATTGCAACTGGCTTTGGGCACTCTAGCCTCCAAGCAGACTGTAGATTACCGTAGGAATTATATAGTTGTTGGAATTTGGCAAGAGGGCTTCAGGTATTTGCAGGTTGCATCTCACCATGTCCGGCTTGTGGTTTGAGAACGACCTTGAGCGCCAGCCGTGCAAGCATACAAGGCCTAGAATTGATAGGCAAACAAGTCTCATCAAGTCTCTCTCCAGTTACTAGTTACTGTATCACTGTCTTGTGCTTGGGGGACACGCAAGGTTTTTGTAAGACTGCACTGTTGGCGGCATTTTGGCAGGACAAAAGGCACGCCCAGTGTCCGGAAATCGACACTCCCTCACCTCAACTGGATCTGAACAGCCGGCGAAGATTGCCACAGTGACACCAGGCAGTTGAATGTCTTCCAGAGACTTTGGCTTGTTATGAATTTGCCAGAGGTTTTGTCAACATACTGTTGTGTAGAGCAGATGGAACGAACACAGCGAGGGTGTTCGGCCTTCTGTCTCTGACAGGCCGATGGAAAATGTGTGTGTGTGTGTGCATGTGTATGTATATTATATATATATATATGTGCCGTATAGGATTAGTATTCTATTGAAATTGATGCAAAAATCAGCACAGACGGTCAGTCCTGACTTCTATATTTGGAAGAGTGTGTTCCGAGCCGGCTTCAGCTGCAAAGGAGATACTATGTGACATATCTGATTTGCAATTGCTCCGGCTGATAATGAGTATGTCACATTGTCCTCCGAAGGAGGTGTGTTTCAGACGGTAATCAGGCGGCAGCTTCCGCAGCATTCTGTAAGGAATGTCCTGCAACTGCCGTGGACTAGACGAAGGTTTAAGCAAGAAAAAGGAAGCGTATTGAGATGCATACAGTGCGAGAATTGAACAAGACGGGGCCCGACATTAAAGTTCCACCCACATGTAGCGGGGTTGTAGAATGCTGGCTCCATGTGGCATGTGCTGATCAAACAGATGTCATCGCTGCAGAGGTCGAACAGCGCTCATCGTCGCTGCCCGATTTGGCTATGCAGAGGCCTTGTCTTGACGTCCAGATGCCACCTACCTACTACAAATACTGTATTACAAGGAAGGTGGAAAGCTAACACAGCTGGAAAGCTAACTTCTATACATTGCAGACGACTGGTTCCATGCGTGGTCAACAAGTGTCGTTCTTTAAATTGCCCTATCCAAAGCCACCGCAATAAAGCCTTGTTGCACGATGCAAACTGTGGCAACACCCGTGATTCAACAGAGAGGTACTGGCAGCAGATTGGAACCCAATCGAATGGAATACCGTATACCTTTCACTGCCTACGTGGGGTTGTGTTTTGACTTGCTGAGGGTGGTCTTTGGTGCCGACTGTAGTCCAGGTTTGCTCTCTTTTGCTGGACCACGGAGCAGATCGCAATGCCAGAGTGTCAGGCTGGTGAAAGTGGAGAATCAGAACAACAAAAGCACCTGGCTGAGTGACTCTCGCCCATTTCTTGGATGCCTTGGGGCTTTAAGGTCAAGGCCGAAACGATTGAGTTGAGAAAAGAAAACATCCGGGATTCATCAAGTTAGAGGGAATCCCAGACTTCAGAAATTAGCTGCACTATTAACATCCATTTCATTAATTTCATTCAACCATAGTGGTGTCGTCTCATAGCAATACCATCAACATTCTTAGACACACGCGGCTTTGTGGCACGTCCATCGCGGCCAACGAAGCCTAGGTAGACAGAAAAGCTTCAGTGCTAACGCATGCGCTGTGTATCAGCTCACCATGGCCTAACGGTGGCCTTATCGTCAAGAGTCAATATTCGTCAATTCATCAACATTCCGAACATCTTGAAGCATTTGTATGAGAGTCTCACAGTGCATCCATTTGTCAAGAAGCGTCAATTGCACTGCAGAGGGATGAACATAATGAACCGAGGCTAAAGGCTAACAAGATTGTGCCAGTTAAGAAGCGGGTACGAGCAGCTTGCGACCTACCAGCTGCACTTAGATACATGTGTGCAGCCAAAAGCAGGTGATTTACAGCACCGCATGAGCGTCTTCGTTGGCTTCATCCGGTTCAATACAACAAAGTCATTGCAAAATGCAGCTCTTGAATGCAGGGTGTTCACAGGATGAATTAGTGTTGTACGTTCGATCTGCCGGCCGGGCCGCCCAAACCTATTGTGCATACAATAGGCTGCGGCTGTGGCATATCACAGTGTGCAGCCTCGATCTAAAAGAACATGAGGGTCCAATGCAACATGAGTTCCACGAGCACATGCGCAACTGCCAAGACGATCGTTTCACCTAAACAGCCTGAAGAGGAGACTCTGAGGAGAGCATGTTTACCAAACAAATACAAACATAATCACACATTACAGTAATTTACTGTACATCGCAAACTTCTTAACGGATCCAAGCACACTGGAGTGGCCAACTCTTGTGAGACACAGTTTGCAATTTGTTGCTGTATGCCCCCTGCGAATCTTCAGCAAAGAGGAAGAACGTCTAAACGTCAAATGTAGCAAAACAGAACAAGAAAGACCCTTGAATTCAGGGTGTTCACACATACGTGCAGACAAAAATGAAGAGGCCCCTTTGTTCAGCTCCTTTCAGAGAGCAATGTGCGAAATTGCACGGATCCTATTTTGATATTTTTGTGAGGATGTGGATGGGCACCCCTTGAGCTCCACACGCTCAAAGCTTTTGTGCGAGGTGCATGCTACATTCGCTAGACTTATGACATAAAGCTGCCTGCTATGTCTGAAAAACCTTAAAATAGTTATTTTAGGAAAATAATAGGAAAAAAATAGGAACTGAAAATAGGAGAAAAAAAAGACACAAAGAGGTTGAGTCTCAAAAATAGGAAAAGAAAAGAGCTGGATTTAGAAATAGGAAAGGAAAAAAAGGAAAAGAATGGCAGCACTCTAGGACAGGAACATAAAATGGACCTAGCCCTAGTGGACCCAGGTCTGGCGGACCTAGCCCCAGGGTACCTAGGCCTAGCCCCGGTGGACCTAGGTCTAGCGCTAGCCCCAGTGGACCTAGGCCTAGCCCCGGTGGACCTGGCCCCTATTTTTCCTATTTTTCCTTGGTTGTTCGGGGAACGACTTTCTCGAAGCCGATCGGGTGAAGTTTTTGACGTGTCTTTTACATTTTGTACTCAAGGTGGGATTGGGGGGACGCGGCTCCCATGCCAGGAGATCAATCGAGCTGCACTAGATCCCGAGCCAGCGGAGAGGAGCGCAGAGGTGAGAGGCGAGAAGTCCCGCCTGAGGAGGAGAGAGGCGCAGAGGCTGCAGAGAGGCCGCATCGAGAAAGGCGACGAGAGCGTGAGGAGAGGACGAGAGATGGCAAACGCCGGAGGAGAGGCTAGAGGACGAGACGAGTCAGTTGGAACCTTTGACATTGAAGACAAAGACCGATGGCTCTTAATGGGCGTGTTTGCTGGTCGCGTCATCATCGCCCCTGTGACATTAGGCAAGAAGGTTGTGGATTGCCCCTTCTTTGTGAAATCACATGCCGTGCTCCCCGATGGCAGCCTGTCGGTCGAAGTCGTTTCGCTTGGCACCCAGAACAGCAAAGAGTCGAGAACGTTGACAAGCATGAATCGACTCCTCACCTCAGCCCATATCTGCCAGGAGGTCCCCTGCACAGCCGGAGGCAACTACATCTGCCACATCAAGCACCTGGAGGTTATTCATGGCCCGGACCTCGAAACCAGTGTTCTGGGTTCTTCAGGCCACAAAAGGTGGGCCAGTTTGTGTCAGGAGATTTTGGGGGTGACGGTAGGTGAGGCCAGGTCCACAGCCTTGGGAGGACGAGGTTCCGGAGGTTCGTCGAAGTGCACTTCGACGCGGCGGCCCAAGAGAGGATGCAGACCCTTCTCGACATGCCATCTTCGTCGATGCGGAGCCAGGCGAGGAGGACGACAGTGGAGGCCGCGAGAAGAAGAGGAAGGTGAGAAGGAGTTCAGAGGCTGCAGATACAGAGGATGCCAAGAAAGGTCGAGGAAGAGTGGCCGAGGCCTTGAGCGACCTTCGCCAAAAGCTCAAGGACTGCAGCATGCGCTCGCCTGGTGGGGAAGAGTCCGCTGCGGCTGGGTTGAACGACTCAAAGAAGCCCGCCGTTTCATCACTTGCAGCGGGTTCAACCAAGAAGGATGGGCCGAAGAACTTGACCTGTGGAGTGGACAAGCCAGCCGCCGAGGTTCAGGAGTTATTGAAGAGTGGATTGGAGGAGCCAAAAGAAGGTACCTCGAGTTCCAAGACGAATCGATCACCCAGCCAGGCGTTGGTTGCAGCGGCGAGCCAAGCAGCAGCAGGCGCGGCAGGAGCAGGTGGAGACAAGAAGAAGAAGAAGAGGAAGAGAGGAGGAGATCGTGTGCTGCATGCTCTGCGGGCGGCTCTACGGCCCAAGCGAGGGAAGAAGGAGAAGAAGAAAAAGAAGAAGGAGAAGAGCGATGGCGATCCCTCCGACGACGATGGCAGCCCGGGCGATTCCTCGGACGAGGACGAAGAGGAGGACGAGTACAGCAGTTATTCGACAGAGGAAGAAAGCAGCGAGGACAAGAAGGCCAGGCGGTTGCAGGCCCCTTTGAAGAGACGCAGCCAGAAGAAAAAGGGAAGTGTGATCAACCTCCTCCTCGAACAGATTGCCGAGCAGTTGCAGGACATCTCAACCCCGCAGGAGGACTTGTTGACCAGCGGGCCAAAGGTGGGCACCTATTGGCAGATAAGCCTCAAGCACCGATACAATGCAGGTCATCCAGCCCTTCGAGAACTCTTCCTGTTGGCCACGGTGATCGACAGGGTGCGAAGTGGTCAACTCCTCGAAGCATTAGATGCATTGGCCGGCCGATTCATTGCGGTGGAAGCGGCGACCCACGATGGTTGGAATGTCGCGAGGCATTTGGAGGTGGCTGCGCCGGCCGAACAGGCCATAGCCCCGGCCGAGCTTCAGTTGGCGGCGAGGAGACACAACAATATGATCCCCAGGGCTCAAGGCTTCGAAGGAAAAGGAAAGTGGAGGTATGC